ACACTCCAACCTGAGCAACAGAGCCAGACCCTGGCTTTAAAACATTAAAATTTTAGTCCAGGTGTGGTGGCTCACGCCTATAATCCCAGCACTTTAGGAGGTCAAGGTGGGTGAATTACTTAAGGTCAGGAGTTTGAAACCAGCATGGCCAGCATGGTGAAACCCGGTCTCTATTAAACATACAAAAATTAGCCAACAGTGGTGGCGGGCACCTGTAATTCCAGCTACTTGGGAGGCTGAGGCAGGAGAATTGCTTGACCCGAGAAGTGGAGGTTGCAGTGAGCTGAGATCATGCCACTGCATTCCAGCCTGGGCAACAGAGAGAGACTCCATCTCAAAAAAATAAATAAAGTAAATTTTAAAAACTACCCTTTCTACTTTGCCCACTCCAGTTTGATTATTCTACCCCACAGTGGCGAAAATTATATATATATATATATATATATATATTTATATATATATTATTCTATATATTATATTTAATTATATATATATTTATATATATATTTAATGCAGTGGGGTGATCCCGGCTCACTGCAACTTCTGTTTTCCGGTTTCAAGCAATTCTCCTGCCTCAGCCTCCCGAGTAGCTGGGACTACAGGCATGCACCACCACACGCGGCTAATTTTTTGTATTTTTAATAGAGATGGAGTTTCACCATGTTGGCCAGGATGGTCTCGATCTTTGACCTCATGATCCACCACCTCGGCCTCCCAAAGCGCTGGGATTACAGGTGTAAGCCACCACACCCAGCCCAAAATAATATTTTTTAAATGCAAACCAGATCACACCATTCCACGGCTTTAAACCCCTTACTGACTTCCCGATTCCAAGAATAAATGTTCAAAATTCTTAACATAGCCTAGAAGACCTTATTAGCTGAGGTAACTGTCTCCCTCTGTAGCCTCATCTCTGGCCACCCTTTCTCTTATTCTCTGCAATCTAGCTTTTCCTTTTTCAGATGCCAAATTCTACCATCCCATGGCCTTCTAATACGCTGTCCCTCACATTTCCCACACCCTTTCACCCATCGCCACCTGAATAATTCCTCTTCTCTCCATTTTCAACCTACGGTCACTTCTTCAGGCGCTTTCCCCCTTCCCCACTCAGGGTAAATCAGATGTTACAGGATCTTAGTGTAGCCTATGTTCTTTCCTCATAGTGTGTGTCACAAATGCAATGACAGCATATTTCATGATCACCTGCTTGGTGACCATGTTTCGCACTATTCGATGTGCTCATCAAGTGCAGGGGCCATGTCTCAGTTGCTCTTTACTGTGTGCCTGACACAGTGCCTGACATGAGAGCACAGTGCCTGACATGAGAGCACAGTTGGGTTATAACCACCAGGGAATGGGCCTACAGATGGACCCAAAGGCAGGGTGGGGGAGGAAAGCAAGCCTGTGAAAGGGGGCACCCCTTTGATTTCATTCTTCACGAGTGTCTAAGTTCATTTTGTGCTGCTATAATAGAATACCACAGGCTGGTTAATTTATAAACCAAAAGTATTTGTTTCATGGTTCTGGAGGCTGGGAAGTCCAAGAGTAAGGTGCTGTATCTGATGAGGGCCTTCGTGGCAGAGGGTGGAAGGACGAGAGAGCGTATACCCACATGAGAAAGGGAAAGGGAGCCAAACTCATTCTTTTATCAGGAACCCACTCCCATGGTAACTAACCCACTCCTGCAATGGTGGCATTAACCCTTTCACAAAGGCAGAGCCCTCCAGACCTAATCATCTCTTAGAGGTCCACCTCTCAACACTTGCATTGGAGATTCAGTTCCCAGCACAGGAATTTTGAGAAACACATTCAAACCACAGCAATGAGCCTCCCAGTCTTGCTCCCTTACTGCTTTTTCTGCTGCCTTTTCATTATCTATAACCATCATCATGTGAACACATCACCTTAAAATTGTTGAAAATATGCCACTTTAGAAGAATGTGCTCGGAGGAGGTGACAGGTCCCCATACCCACTCCTCACCCCTCATGCTCTGGTCCGCTGCTTTCTGTATATTATGTGTTAAAAATGTGTGAACGAGGCAAGGTCTTGCATATCCCCTGACTCCTCCCCCTCTTCAATGTCTGTGTGTCTCCAAAGCATCTGCTCACTGCCCACTGCCCACTCCCTCCAGTCCTTCTCTCCTTCACCACATTCATCGAGGGGAGGGGCACCTTCCTTGATCCGCTAACTCCCGTCATCTAACCTCCTTACATTCATCCTTCTTCCCCTCACTTTGAAAGTTCTTGAAAGAATTGTCTCCATTTGTAGCATTCACTTCCTCCCTACCTACTCCCTGTTATTTAGTGTCCTATTCACTTGATTATTGAATAGCTAATATGCCTTCACAGTATAGAATTCAAAACATTCCAGAAGGTTCACAGTTAAGCATCTTCTTTCTACCAGTCTCCCCAAGCTTCGCATTTTCCTCAGAGGCAGCTCCCACTACCAGCATCTTGTTTATCTTTCCAAAAAGCATATACTTACATTTATTCTTATTTGTATTTCTTTATACAAATGGAAGCATTTCTACACATTTTCCACCCTTTGCTTTTTTCACTTAAAATATCTTAGAGATTGTTCTGTCTACATCACTGTATCCAAAGCTACCTCATTCTTTTAAAGGGCTGCCAAACCCCCACAGTGAGGATGGATCATAAATTCTCTACTCTGGACATTGAGGATATTACTAGTGCTTTGTTCTAACAAACATGCCACAGTGAACATCCTGCACATATAGGATTTTTCCACCCTTGTGAGTGCATCTGTAGGATAGATCCATAGAAATGAAACTGCACTTTGCATTTTGGAATTAAATTGCTCTCCATAGAAGCTGTACCAATTCACCCACAATGACAGTCCATAGATTTATTGTTCCTCATACTTTTCAACAGATTGTTTTAATAAGCATTTTTTATATTTTTCCAGTCTCATAGGTGAATCAGTCTACTTTCAATTTGCATTTCCTTTTATGAATGCGGTTGCGGCCAGGTATGGTGGCTCATGCCTGTAATCCCAGCATTTTAGGAGGTCGAGGTAGGTGGATCACTTGAGGTCAGGAGTTCGAGACCAGCCTGGCCAACACAGTGAAACCCTGTCTCTCTTAAAAATAGAAAAATAAGTTGGGCATGGTGGCTGGTGCCTTTAATCCCAGCTACTTGGGAAGCTAAGGCAGGAGAATCACTTGAACCCAAGGAGGTGGAGGTTGCAGTGAGCCAAGATCACGCCACTACACTACAGCCTGGGCGACAGAGCAAGACTCTGTCTCAAAAAAACAAACAAGAAAATGCAAAACAATGCTGTTGTGCATTCTTCTTACTTTAAAGAGCCATTTGTATTTCTTGTTTCACCAACTCTCTGTTTCCATCCATTGCCCATTTTTCAACTATATTTTCAGTCTTTTGGCTTTTCCCAGGAACACTCTATATAAGAAAACGATTTACTTGTCTGTGGTGTAAGTTGCAAATATTTTTAATCACTCTGTAACCCTTTGCAATGCATCTTCGGTGCCCAGTGAAGCAAGCTGAACTGCTGTCTCCCTGGACCCCCACGGCCTCCTGGTCCTGCCCTCCCAAGGCCTTTCTCTGTGCTTTTTTTTTTTTTTTTTGCAGCATTTGACACTGCTGACCCACCCTTCCTGAATATGCCTTTTAAAATTACATGCACTACTTTATATTGCATCATCTCCCACTTCTCTGACAATTACTTCTCTTATGCCTTCACTGAAATTTCTGTGAAGAATGCCCTTGTGAAAAGAGGTCTTCAAACTCTGCCCTGGGGATGAGCTCTGGCTGGAGATATTGCTGGAGTTTTTCCCAAGCACCATAAGTCTAACACGATGTGCAGACAACTATTGCCATAGCTGAGTCCAAGGCAGGCTCGGATGTTTCGTTGGTTCTTCACTTTTCATCCGCACATCAAGCTCAACATGTCTAAAACTGTTCCTTCCAACTTTTTCAATTCCCTAGGGCTCCTACCACTCTTCCAATCCTCCTAGGTCTGAAAACTCAGTTTCCCCAGCCCAGGAGTCGCCAAGTCCCATCGATTCTCCCGTGAAAGTCATCTCCTCCACCTCTCCCCTCCTTCCCAGCCCCAGGTCTCATGCTTGTCACCGCACTCTTCATCATGTCTTGGATGATTCGTCAACACTTTCTCCTTCTGCAGTCCTGCACACGCAATCTCCTGCTGCCTTTTGGGGAAACCTCAATCCCTCCCATGTGCCAGTGCCCCTCACACCTCAGCAGAGGGCTCTGCACAAAGCTAGAACCCAGGGTGAATTAAGGAAGCCTGGATCCAAATGCAGTACCATGTATTCTGGAACTGGAAGAGGGCATTTCCAAAAGTGAAAATGTGTGTTGTGTGTGTGTGTTGTGTGTGTGCATTTCTGTGGACACATCAGTACTCTGTGTGTGTGTGTGTGTGTGTGTGTGTGTGTGTGCACGAACTTTGCCATTGTTGCTTTTGTTTGTGCTTGTTTAATTTATTCAACCAACCGGCATGCACTTCTATTCTGGTATCCCTGACTCCTTCCCTCCAGCCTCCCTCTACTTAGCCCTCACTGTTGCTGCAGTTGTACCAATGCCCTAGAAAAACCGGTGGCAAGGAGCCATCTCCAAGACCCTGCTCCGTGCTCCAGTTCCAGGGGCCATCCAGCAATGCCAGGCCAGTGTGAAGGTGGCCTAACCCTGACACTCTTAGGCCAGTGTCCCCTGTCCACCTGCACCACTCCGCTCCCTTCTCCTTCACCTTCCATGAGCCATCTTCCCCACCCCCACCCCAGCACACACAAGAAAGACCCTACAGGAAATGGCCTCCAGCCAGGTGTCACAGCAGAGCCCGCTGACATTCTAAGACTTCTTGAGTGCATGGCTAATTGCTCTGGCACCTAAGAATTTCTTTGGGTCCCCAGACTCAGCATCCCGCTCTGAGGGATGCAACCACCCCCACATTCAGATTCACCGGGATGCTGTTTGAGGGGACAGTAGCCGGGATAGAGTGAGGAGAAGAGGGCATCCGGGAATGCAGGACGAGCTGCCCGGGGCGGGAGAGAGAAGGGAGGAGAGAGGTGAGGTGCTGGAAGGGGTGGGGACCGCTGGGCTGGCCCAGGCGGGACCGTGCACCGTGTGTGCGCGCGGCGTTGAAATGCCCTGCACGTCGGGGCAGCGGGACAGAGCCCAGGACGCGCGGGAAGTCTCCGAGTGCCTCGCTCCTCCCGCCGCAACCATGACAGAGAACTCCGACAAAGTTCCCATTGCCCTGGTGGGGCCTGATGACGTGGAGTTCTGCAGCCCCCCGGTGAGTGCCGCCCGGGATTCCACGCGCAGGGCCCGGGATGCGTGAGTGTCTGGTTCCACAGCTCGGGCTCAGGGATGTGTGCCCCCGAATGTGTGTGTGGCGGGGGGGAAAAATTTGGGTCCCAAATGTGTGCGTGGGGTGTCGCCCCACGTATGAGTGTGCAGCGGGCAGGGCATCCACAGGCGGGTGCGGAGCGGCGTCCCGTGGCCCGTGGAGGGTGCAGGTCCTGGGCGACGGCCCTGCCCTGCGGGGTTTGCCCACCGCACTTCCACGCCCGACTACAAAGGACCCTTGGGAGGGAGCGAGGCTCAAGGGCACCCGTAGGAGCCCGGGTGAGCTGTTTCCCGCCCGACTCCCTACCCCCTGGGGGCCACCGCGTGGGGCCCGAGTGCGCGTGGGACGCGGGTGCGCGCGGCACAGACGTGACGGTCCCTCTCCCGCCCCGGCCCGCAGGCCTACACCACGGTGACGGTGAAGCCCTCCAGCCCCGCGCGGCTGCTCAAGGTGGGAGCCGTGGTCCTCATTTCGGGGGCGGTGCTGCTGCTCTTCGGGGCCATCGGGGCCTTCTACTTCTGGAAGGGAAGCGACAGTCACGTAAGTCCAGAGGGTGGCGCGCGGGGACCCCCTTGTCGCCCACGGTGCCCCTAGGGGGAGCCCGAGCGCGGGCCGGCGAGGGGCGCGCGGCTGCCGGAGGGACCCTCCTGCCCAGCGTGAGCGTCCCTCTCCCATTCCCGCTCTGCCACGCGGCTTTCCACCTCCGGTCAGCGTTGTAGAAAAACAAGTGAAGGTTTCACGGGAGAAGATTGAAGCATGCAGTAGGGGAGAATGCAGTGGACGGTCCGAGAAAAGCCGTTCTTGGCTCATCTCCCGCTAAGCGGTGGCGCGACCGTGGGGAAGGCACGTCACCTCTCGGCCTCAGTGTACTCGGCCTTAAGGGAAAAAATGGAACTGGATGATCTCTAAGGCCTCTCCCTGCTGAGAAAGGCTGTGGATGTAAAATCTGGAACAAAGATAGTGGAGGAATATTCAGACGCGTAATTGGGAAGGAATTTTTGCCTTTCAGGAGGTTTTTTTGTGACCTTGCCACGAACATTCCCTTCTCTCTTGCGGGGGTGGTGGGGGGGGGGATCTAACTTCCTTAAAGGTAGAAAATGTCTTTCGCAATTAATTCTGGCCTAGCCATCACATGTGATTTAATAGTAGATGTTTCACTAACTGCTGTCCTACTTTCTTTGTATGCAACTATTTATTTTAAAGCTCCATGGGCTCTGGAGGAGTATAAAGGCTGCTTCTAAGTTGACTGGGCAGAGTTCCAGTGTGTTCTCTGAATACTCTGAATGTGTTCACCTATGTGAAAGGGGGCATTTTATCTTGATGACCACTGCCAGGTCTGGTATAAGCTTATTTCGACTAATGGAAAAGAATTCCATCTCCAGGGCACACACAAAGGGCTCTTTCATACTCACTATCCTCAGAGGATCGGTGACTGCTGTTTTTTTCTCTCTCCTCCCCTGAAATGCAAAGCATGAACGAATTCCAGTACTTACAGAAAACGGTGCTGAAAGCAATTCAACCATTTTACACATCACATCTTCTGCAGTCACTGCATAATTTGTATTTTTAACTCAAATGCCTAATGTAGATAAGCGTGCCTTTTAGCACCGAGTCTGTTTTAGAGACTATATCAAATTTACAGGCATCGATTTGTAAGATCAGAATTGCACTGTATTTTGTGTGTATTTGAAAAGTGCCTTAATGTATTTGTGTTTTAAATATAGAAGCTGGGCCAGATGCTCATGTTTGAAACAGCAAATGTGAATAAGAGAATGATTTCAATACCTACATCTCCACTAATAGTGGGGTTTGGATTGTCATCTGTTTGGGAAATTCTGTGGTTTTAGAATGTAAATGCTATCTTTTGGATAACAAGGCCTCAATGGTATAGGTCAATGGGGAATCAAAATAGCTTTGCTTTTTTTTTTTTTTTTTTTTTTTGCAAAGATTCTGGTCATGATATGTTTTAAAATGAATACCATTTGGCATTTGATTATTCAAGGTAAACATCATTAACTGACAAGCTTCTAAAAAGAGAGATTAAACAATCATAGTGAAGAAGCACAGGTCCCTTCTTCATACCTTTACTGCAAGATGGTTGGTTGTCTGGTTCAGGAGAGCAATATTAAATTCTAAGAATTCAGAGGAATAGTGAATCACATTTTATTGCCAACAATCAAAGTTATTGCTATATCCTGTACAGTGAGGAGAATGAAGAAAATCACGATCGTTTTTTTTTTCTCCCTGATCCATATTACTTAAGTAAGAAAAACAAATCACCAAATACTAAATAGAGTAAATTTGGCACCATCTACGCATAGCGCTCACACAGGTCTGCTTTCCCTGAATACAAATCTAAATAGCTCAGACAAAATGTAATCAAAAAAGGTAAGTCTTTGTCAAACAGAAAGACTTGTCAAACCAAATGGATTATCCACTCTTTGGGGATTATCTGTGCCTCTGCTCCTCTATATTGGTTTATACAGGAGAAACAGCTGTAATTCAACTCCTATCCCTTTCATGTGGGTAAATCCCCTTAGGATAGGTTTACTCAAATTTAGCTGGAGGACTGTGAAGCACTAGAGTACTAATAATCAGGGACAACTGCACTGGGCTCCAATATTGAGGCCATTTTTCATCCACATTATTGTAAATGGAACAAGGCATTGAAATATGGGAAGTTTCCACCAATATGAGATAACTGACAACCCCACCCTGTGGGATGAGGGAAGGAGATCATTGCTTAGGGCCTTTCCTCAGACTAATTTTTCTAGACATTTTCCCAAACACTATGTAATTAATCTTATAGAACATAGGCCTTATTAAAAACTCATTAGCAAATATCCTGGGCTGTAAAAGGCACCATATTGAGTGGAATTTTGGCAAATAATAAATTTCATCTTATTTGGATAAAAATAGCCTTGGGTGCCCACAGCCCCACGGACTTAGAGCAGATAAGGTCATTGCTGCTCCAACAGCCCAGCCTCATCACCAGCTTAGATTCCAGTATGTTAGAAACTGGACTACCTCCTCCCCCATGTCTTTCCCTTGCTGTGCCCATGCAGACTGTGTGGTGCACATAAACGGTGGGCTGCAACTGCACTGCCAAGATGCCCTCCCTCCAGCTTGTCCAATCCACGCCCCACGGGCTGCATGCGGCCCAGGACAGCTTCGAATGCAACCCAACACAAATTCGTAAACTTTCTTAAAACATTAGAAGATTTTTGGAGAGAGATCCAAGATGGCTGATCACTAGCAGCTCAGGATTGCAACTCCCAGTGAAAGCACAAAGAACGAGAGGACGCCACACCTTCACATGAATTCTTGTTGCTCACCCACCAGGAGATTCCCAGCGGAGGAGCCCCACGGGTCGCCAGCGCGACTCTTGTGACCGGCGAGGCCGTTTTGCCGGCGCCTCGGAGCGTCGGTTCTTGGTGCAGAGTCAGAAAAGCACCATCAATCTTAACGCCACTGATTTAGTCGGCGCAGTGGGTTGCTCAGATTTCGGCTCTGAGAATCAATAAGTTGGACGTCCACTCAGAAACCCAGTTACAAAGACGGTAATTATAAAGACCACAGATGGATAAATCTACAACGAAAGGAAGAAAACAGCCAAAAAAGGCTGAGAATACCCAAGATCAGAACACCTCTCCCTCAGCAGGGGATCACAGTTCCTCATCAGCAACGAAACAAGGCTCGATGGAGAACGAGTGTGTTCCAATTACAGAAGCAGGCTTCAAAATGTGGATAATAAGAAACTTCTGTGAATTAAAAGAACTTGTTCTAACCCAATCCAAAGAAACTAAGAACTTTGAAAAAAGGTTTGACAAAATGTTAACAATAATACACAATTTAGAGAGGAAAATAAGTGAATTGATGGAGCTGAAAAACACAATACGAGAACTACGTGAAGTATGCACAAGTTTTAACAGCCGAATTGATCAAGCAGAAGAAAGGATATCAGAGGTCGAAGACCAACTCAATGAAATAAAACAAGAAGACAAGATTAGAGAAAAAGGTATAAAAAGGAACGAGCAAAGTCTCCAAGAAATATGGGACTATGTGAAAAGACCTAATCTACGCTTGATAGGTGTACCTGAATGTGACAAAGAGAATGAATCCAAACTGGAAAATACGCTTCAGGATATTATTCAGGAAAATTTTCCCAACTTAGTAAGGCAGGATAATATTCAACTCCAGGTAATACAGAGAACACCACAAAGATATTCCTCAAGAAGAGCAACCCCAAGACACATAATCGTCAGATTCACCAGGGTTGAAATGAAGGAGAAAATACTAAGGGCAGCCAGAGAGAAAGGTCAGGTTACCCACAAAGGGAAGCCTATCAGACTCACAGCAGATCTATCAGCAGAAAGCCTACAAAGCCAGAAGAGAGTGGGGACCAATATTCAACATCCTTAAAGAAAAGAACTTTCAACCAAGAATTTCACATCCAGCCAAACTAAGCTTCACAAGTGAAGGAAAAATAAAGTTTTTCGTGAACAAGCAAGTACTCAGAGATTTCATCACCACCAGGCCCGCTTTACAAGAGCTTCTGAAAGAACCACTACACATAGAAAGGAACAAACAGTATCAGCCTTTCTAAAAAATACCAAAAAGTAAAGAGCATCAATATAATGAAGAATTTACATCAACTAATGGGCAAAATAGCCAGCTAATATCAAATGGCAGTATTAAACTCACATATATCATTATTAATTCTAAATTTAAATTGACTAAATCCCCCAATCCAAAGACAGATAGGCAATTTGGATAAAAAACTAAAATCCATCAGTATGCTGCATCCAGACCCATCTCACATTCAAGGATACACAAAGACTCAAAACAAGGGGTGGAGAAAGATTTACCAACCAAACAGAGAGCTAAAATAAATAAATAAAAAGCAGAAGTTACAATTTTTGCCTCTGATAAAACAGTCGTTAAAGCAACAGAGATCAAAAGAAGCAAAGAAGGACATTATATAATGATAAAAGGATCAATGCAACAACAAGAAGAGCTAAAGATCCTAAATATGTACGCACCCAATAAAGTAATACCCAGACATACAAGACTAATAAAGATACTTAGACTCCCACACAATAATAGTGGGAGACTTCAACATTATTATTAGACAGATCAATGTGACAGAAAATTAACAACGATATCCAGGACTTGAACTCAGATCTGGAACAAGTAAATGTAATTAACATTTATAGAACTCTCCACTTTAAATACACAAAATATACACTCTTATCAGTACCACATCATATCAACTTAGAAGTTTAAACGAAATGTTGGTTGGCTCCTTGTTTGTTATTCTCTTCCCTCATTTTCTTTTATGTCTCCATTATTAAGGACAATTATAGGCATACCCATATTTAGACTGCATTCTAGCCTGGGCAATAAAGCAATACCCCCATTCTCTCTCCCTCTTCCTCTTTCACTTTCTTCCTCTTCTTTATTCTTTTTCTTATTATTCTTTCTTTCTTTCTCAAAAAAAAAAAGAAAAGAAACCCCAAAATATTGATCAACACTAATTTTTCTCTTACATCTATTGACAAGGATCAGTTCTGTTGAAATTCTAAAGTAATTACCACAGTTTCCCAAGTACAGTTGTAACTTTCATTAAATTCACATTGGCATCTTGAAAAAAAAAATTAGGAGTTTTTTTTGGTTTTGTTTTTGTTTTTTTGAGATTCTTTAAAAAAAAAAAATCTCATCAGTTGGCCAGGCACGGTGGCTCATGCCTGTAACCCCAGCACTTTGGGAGACCAAGGCAGGTGGATCTCCTAAGGTCGGGAGTTCGACACTAGCCTGACCAACATGGTGAAACCCCATCTCTACCAAAACTACAAAATTTGCCAGGTGTGGTGGCACATGCCTGTAGAATCGCTTGAACTCAGGAGGCAGAGGTTGAGGTAAGCCAAGATCATGCCATTGCACGCCAGCCTGGGGACAAGAGCAAAACTCCATCTCAAAAAAAAAACAACAAAAAACAAAAAACAAAAAACTCGTCAGTTATTATTAGTGTTCATGTATTTTATATGTGGCCCAAGACAGTTCTTCTTCCACTGTGGCCCAGGGAAGCCAAAAGATTGGACACCCCTGCACTTAGTTAGGGAGGCTTTGTTGGGGAAAAGACAGCCAGAGGTAGTGGCAGAGGAATGTGAAATTCAGACCACAGATCACTCTTCTAGTGTTACAGCCTAGTCTCCTTAAGAACTGCTGAGAATTTGAGAAATGGTTATGTTCTTGAATGTTGCATTGCTTTATTAGTAAAAGCTTATGTGTGATGTTCTTTAAAAAAAAAAAAAAAAAAAAAAACAGAGCCTCTTGTCACATGAGTGGAAGGCATTCACATGGGCGTTGTCTGCCAGGCTCCTTCTGACAGTCATCACTGACCCACATGAACAGTGGATGCTCAGAGAGCCCCGGACAGAACTGAGCCTGCTCTCCAAACCTCACCTGCAAGAGTCCCATCTCAGCCAAAGAAAACAGGTTTCTCAAACCTGGCTGATCATAAGGGCCACCTGAGGGGCAAGGGGAAAAGAGACAGGTGGCCTACGCTCTCTCCTCACTAAATCAGAACCCCTAGGAGTGGTTCTTGAGATCAGGGGAGCCCAGGAGACAGTAAGCCACAGACGTCTGAGTTCCTCAGAAAGAGACAGGGAAGGAGGGGCAATGAGGGGTGGTTGAGCTGAAACAGGACACTGGTATTTTCTGTCCTGCTGAATGAATAAAAAGGGTGCAAGATAGCAAAGCCATTTCTGTATCTCTGCTGATAATAAAATAGTGCACTGTAGGTCCTGTAATAATGAGTTTTCTGCAAGAAATGATCCAACAATAACAGACCCTTCTTCCAGTGTTTGTCCATGTAGCAGTCACTCAGTATTGAGGGAGAAAAATCAGACTTGAATTGAATCTGAGCTGTTTGCAGTTTTGACTGGCTGACCTGACGTTAAGTAGCAACGGTTTTTCATTAGTTCTCATTTCTCCCCTTTAAAGATTTATGTATATATGTGTATAGGTACGTTATAATTTATATATAAGATATGTAATATACATAAGATATATAGATATACATCTAAATCCAAGAAACAAAGAGACCCACTTCCTAGCTCTGCCATACAGAAAGGTCTAACAGGACAGCACCACACTGAACAGGAGCAGCATCTGAATTATTTAGAAACCAGTGTAGCAATCAGGTGTCTGAGCCCTTTAGATCAGCTAATTAGTGGCAAAGTTTAAAAAAATGTTTTAAGTATTGACATTTGTCTTTCTAACAAATTGTTACTCAGAAATGCAACACATAAGACAGAAAAAGCAGAGCCACTCTGGTTAGACTGTGAATAGACAGGAGAGAACAGAGTGCCACGATGTCATCTTCACCTCTCAGCCACACCTGTGAAACCCCAACAGTTCTAAGGACATAGATGAAAGCCACCTATGAGGTCCAACTTCATTCTATAGTGGTGGCAACTCACAAGATCCCGAGATGAGTGGTGTGGCCACCTGTTTTCCTGATTCCTGGATTGGTGCTTTTCTGCAGTGCCAGGTTCCTGCCCCTCTTCCACATACCCCACACATCTCATAACAAGATGCCCTATGGCACTATGCACCTGCCCCATGCAGTCGTTCAGGGAGTAGCTACCATTTTGAGCTGAAAGAGACGTGCATATTGGCCTTGCTCTCCACACATGCTGCTCGATACCAAGTGTACCCTGGTCCTGTCTGCAGTCCTTTCCATATACCTAATACCATATATAATACACCTAAGGCACTCCATGCATAATCTTGACCAAAAGATGAAAACAAGTTTGAAATGGAGGTGCCACTGCAGACGCCTTCAGCTGGAAGCCCAGTTAACCTTCTGCCTTGTCAATTTCCATTTATTCATCAATGGTTCTCAGCCCAGATGCGTAATAGAATTGAGCTTTAGAAAAATAAAGGCCTATGCCCACGTGCCCTCCACACAGCTTCTGACTTGGTTTGTCCAGGGTGAAACCCAGGCACAGTACCCAGAAAGTCTACCCAGAGGTTTCTAAAGTACATCCAGCATTGCAAATTACTGAGCTATTGGATAAGTGTCAGAGACTACCAAAGGTTTTACTTTCAAGGTATTTTTAATGAAATCATTGCATTATCTGATTGCTGTATCAATGAAGTCTTCATATATAAATGTATTCTCAGTAAGGACTATCCCATGAATCCCTGAAACACCTGGACACTACCTCATACACTGCAGTTCTAAAGATAAGCCCTGAATTGCTCAAAAAAGAAAGCATCACTAATGCTTATGCTCACTTTCAGATTTATAATGTCCATTACACCATGAGTATCAATGGGAAATTACAAGATGGGTCAATGGAGATAGATGCTGAGAACAACTTGGAGACCTTTAAAATGGGAAGTGGAGCTGAAGAAGCAATTGAAGTTAATGATTTCCAGAATGTAAGTATATTTCATGCATTTAGACAGTTTAACCAGGCAAGCCTGGGGGACTTTTCTAATTCAAGGAGAAGCAGCATTTCTCACACACATCCAAATAGTAACTGTTCTTTATAGCAGTTGTAGACCACTAATCTACATATGTCATGTAGCACATTCTTGCTGAGAAAGAACCAGACTTTGTCCTTCATATCTGCAAAAGGAGTAAAACAACACTTCAGTTGTAAAATACCAAAAACACAACCAAAAACAAAAAGAACCACCTTTATTGAGTTCATGTACATAAGGATTTAACTGTTTTGAAAAAAAAAAAAATTACTTCTAGGAAATTAAAGGTATGTCCTTAGAAATCAAAATAAAACTTGATTTTTTAAAATGGAAAAAAACCCCAATACCATAGCACTGAAAGGAGCAGGTTCTTCTTTGAATTATATAAAGTCTTGGCAGAAAGACATGAAGGAGCTGTTTCTTTTCAAGCAGATTTCTGTAACGTGATGAATAAAATGCTCCAAACTATCCTGGAATATTGTAAGATTTGAAATTTAAATTTCTGAAGAAGAGGGAAATTTTAATGACCGAATACTCTCATCAACAACAGGTGGAATCTATTTATATACTTTTCTCAATTCTGATTTCCTATTTAATCCAGAAAATTACCATGAGCAAATTCTCCTATTTCAGCATAGGTTTTCTGACCATAGCATTTTAGAGATAAAACATTCACATCTCCTTTGAAGAGGAGACTGTTTTGTTTTGATTTTTTTTTTAACAAAAATTTAATTTACAGGCACTTTGAGACATTAAGCTGTGCAGTAATGTTTCGGTGTACTCTGCAAACCAAAGTGTCACTCCAGGCCTAATTTCCTGCTGGCCAACATAAATATTCTAAGTTATTTCATGTTTTAGGATGAGGAATAAGCATCACTATTTGTGTTCTCCTGTTAAATCTGAAGATGGAGTAGGTGAAACTTCATAATGAAAAAAGCCTCTTGAAAAGAATGTCTCTTCTGATAGTTTATTGGTCCACAAACACCTCACCGACCCATCTTCCTCTGATTGATGAGAAAAGCTGAAGATGCTTTTCATTTGAGTGAAAGCATTCCTCTTCTTGGCACCAAAATATGCCTCAAAAGTCCATTTGAATACCTAACAGATGCCAACATTAGAGCTACTGTAATGTTAGCTATTATCTGATCATGACAAGAACTGGCTATGTTCAGAATGGTCTCTGCCCTGGGGGCAGCCTCTGCAGCTCTGTATGTGCCCAGCTGCACTTTGATTAGTTATAGCTTTGCAAATGATTTTGGTCAATGCACAAGTATAATTCCTCTGCACCTATTAAAGGCTTTTACTGCAAGACCCAGGACAGGGTAAAATCATTTTTTCTTTGTACTACTCAATACAAACTAATAAAATGTGACTCCCCAACACACATCATTCAATCCAGAAATTGAATACCTGTGGTGTGCCACAATATTAAGATACGCAAAGGGAGCTACAAAGATGAATAAGAAAAGATTCATCTTTCTTGAGATGTTCATGTATCAAAAATATTCTTTTAATATATTTTAATCCCAAACCTATATTTCTGTTTTATAATCCTTTGGTTCTTTTCTAATAATGGTATCGATTGTGTTTTGTTCTCATAGACCAACAGGGCCACAGATATTTTATAAACTGATCAATTCTCTTTGATAGCTTCCACATTTCTCTAAGTCAGAACTGGTGAGTAGAACGTTTTTTTGATGGATAGAACCTGTTATGGGTTTGAACAAGCCTGAACTTTTGAAAACACATGAATCAGCCGCTATGGTACCTACGCTATTACTTTCTCCTGTATTTTGAATCATCAAAATCAAGAAGCATATATTGAAACTTACTGTGTACAAGGGATGGTGCTAAGCAGGGGGAATGCAAAATTGAATGATGCTTCCCTCAAGGACCCTCCAGTTCAGTCCAGGAGGCAGACACACACAGAGAAACAGCTTCAGGTTAGCTTGGAAAACATGTTGCAATGAGCTATGAACAGAGAGGAAGCATCCTTGCTAAACAAGGGGTTGGAGCAGGTCTCACAGAGGTGGTGACAACCAAATCAGGTCCTGAAAAATGATTAGGATTTCAACTGTCAGAGAGGTAGGGGAAGGTTCTCCAGGTCCCGGGAAAAATAGTGAACACCAATGTGCAGGCTTTCAGGGTTCTGATTCTAAGTAGCCCAGCTCAGCCTAACGTGGGGAAGGAAAGAAGATGGGGATGCAGGTGAGGCTAGGTTGTAAAAGGTTTTGAATTGTAAATGAACAGTCTCCCCGGTTCACCTAGGACCCCACCAAGATTTTAGTAGAACGAAGTGGAAAACAAATCCCCAGGGAGGGCAGCACTGGACAAAAGTGCTCCAGGCTCTCCACCCTGAGCGGTATAAAAGTGAAGTTCATTCATTCTGTATGAGTTACATTCTAGTTACACCCTCACGAGCACCAGTGCTGTTGCTTTAAGCCAACCCCCTCGGACTGCGTGCCCCATTTGTGTAAGAAAAAGCCTTAGAAGTTAAGAGAATAAACTGATGGGCATACGGGTGTTCACTGCATAATTCTTTTAAGTTTGTAAATATTTGAAATTTTTTATTTAAACAGCTAGAGAACGTACAGATAGCATAACCTATCAGTTCGGCCTCCAACTATAAGATAAGGGGAAAATAAAATGAAACTAATGTAGAGTAAATATATGGACTTTCTATGTAAATGTTCAGTCAGGTGCCCTACAAGACATAAAGTCAAACACGTACAGCAGTAGCTGAATGACTGTCAATGCCACAGCCCAAAAAAGACAGACACAAGTGTGTGTTGGCAATTTAAATACTATGTGATTTTCTCAGACAGTGAAGGAAAGTACTGTTTTCTCTCCGTTTCACAGTAATTGCATTCCTAGGAAATTTGTTGTACATTAAGACTATGCCAAAAAGTACTTGGTGTTTACATATAAAACAATGTGGGGTTCTAGGCGTTGATATTTACAAACAGGTTTTTTAGCTAGTTTCCGTAGTGTAGTGGTTATCACGTTCGCCTCACAAACAGGTTTTTTTCCTCCAACCCAGGACAGTTAGTTCTTCAGGAGAGCCCCAGGCTCTACCAGACCTGACGTCCATGGGCCCTGTGCAGTAGAGGCCAGGAGTGCCGTCAGTCTTTGTGACAACAAAAAAACTCCAAGGATTTCTAAAGTGCCCTCTTGGGGACAGGAACTCCTACCATCCTTGGGAACCTCTGGTTTAAGCCATAGAAATAGATGCAGTACCTTAGAAAGAAAAAAAATGTAAGGTAAGATTGCCTCACTCTTTTGATGAAAGAATGTTAGATTCTTGGACTCTTCTCTCCTCCCCCTTGCTAGCAAATTTCTTCATGATCACCAGCTTCTAAAGCCTTGTTTGTTCGCAGAAACAGGAGGTTTGCTTGGCTTTCTTGTGCTTCTTTTAGTTCCCTCTGTTTAATCTCTTAATATATCTGGCTGCTTGATGTGGAGTGTTAGCTAGACATGGTGGTTAATATGTGTGAATTCTTTTCCACACTTCCCACCCCATGGGAACTGAAGTTCTCACTGGGGTGTGTCAACTGTCAGAACCAACTTAATGCTAGATTCCCATTCAGTGCTGTGAATCCTTCAGTAGAATCAGCTCTCTCCTTTGGGGATATGGTGATGGTTGTATAGCGTTCCCTCCACACATCTCACATTCAGGGGATGTGTTTGAAGTTAAGAGAGTATGTCACATAAGGAGGCATCATCTCCCTCCCTGCCTTCTGTTTTTCAAACTATGAGTCCTAAGGTTACATGCCAGATAAGAGCAGCAGCCCTGCAGGAGCCAGCGTAACAGAAAGCAGTTACTTTCCACGCGTGTTCCTCAGGCTGCCAGTGGAGCATCACTGGAGGGCTTGTTAGAAACGCAGATTTTAGGCCCCACCCCAGTCCTACTGAATGGGAAACGGGGTAGGGCAGACACTTTCATTTAACCAGTCCTCCAGGTGATTTTTTAATTCTTTTAAAAATTGTTACATAATACTTTGTATCTTTATAGGATATATGTGATATTTTCTTACAAGAATAGAATGTGTAATGATAAAGTTAGGGTATTTGGTTATCATTTCTATGTATGGGGAACATTTCAAGTCCTCTCTTCTAGCTATTTTGAAACGTGCAATACATTGTTGCTAACTACAGTCACCCACTCTGCTTTTGAACATTAGAACTTATTTATTCTAACTGCATGTTTGTAGCAACCATTAACCAACCTGTCTTCATTCCCCCAGCTCCACCCACATACCCTTCTCAGCCTCTGGTATCTATCATTACTTTCTACTTCCATGAGATCAACGTTTTTAGCTTCCACATAGGAGAACATATGGCATTTATCTTTCTGTGCCTGCCTTATTTCATTTAACATAATGACCTCCAGTTCCATCCATATTATGCAAATTACATGACTTCATTCTTAGGGTCAAATAGTATTCCATTGTGGGTATATACCAGTGATCCTTTTGCCTTCCAAGTAGCGGGACTACAGGCACACAGCACCATACCTGGCTAATTTTGAAATTTTTTTTGTAGAAATGGGGTCTCACCGTGTCGTCCAGGCTGGTCTCGAACTTCAGGGCTCAAGCTATCCTTCTGCCTCAGCCTTCCAAAATGTTGGGATTACAGGCATGAGACACTGTGCTTGGCCCTTTTTTATTCTTTTTCTTTATTTTTGTCTGACTGGCTTATTTCAAAAGACTTGTCTTCAAGTTCTGACATGCTTGATACAGTCTATTGTTGAATTTTTTTTTTTTTTTGAGACAGAGTCTACTTCTGTCGTCCAGGCTGGAGTATTGTGGCGCCATCTCAGCTCACTGCAACCTCCGCCTCCCAGGTTCAAGCAATTCTCTTGCCTCAGCCTCCTGAGTAACTGGGATTACAGGTGTGTGCCACCATGCCCAGCTAATTTTTTTGTGTTTTTGGTAGGAACGGGGTTTCACCATGTTGGTCTCTTAACTCCTGCTCTCAGGTGATCCACCAACCTCGGCTTCCCAAAGTACTGGGATTACAGGTGTGAGCCAACATGCCTGGCCTCCACTGTTGAATCTTTTAAGTGTATATTGTATTTCCTTCAATGAATTCTTCAGTTCCATAATTTCTATTTGATTTGTTTTTATAATATACATCTCCTACTTAAATTTCTCATTCTATACTAAAAAATAAATCAGAAATTTTATTTTCTGATTTCTTTGTCACTTTTTTTAGTATTCTCTTGTATCTCATGGAGCTTCTTTAATATCAATATTTAAAATGTTTTCTGGGATTTCATAAATTTGTTTTTGACTGCAATCTGTTGCTAGAGAATTATAGTATTCCTCTGGAAGTGTCATATTTTCTTGCTTTTTCATGCTTCCTGTATCCTTGTGTTGAAATCTGTGCATCTGGTCTAACAGTTGCTTATTCCAGTTTTTTAAATTTGTTTTTGTTGGGGTGGACTTTTGGTGTTTGTTACGTAGGGCACTTCGGCTTTGATTCTGGGTGCAGGCGTCAGTCTAGTCTCTGTAAGTTGTTTTTTTTTTTTAAGTTGTAAACAGCATCATTGGTATCTGTGATTCTCCTTGGTGGCTTAAGGTGTGGTTGTTAATAAGACTGTTCTGAAGTTTTGCTGGGTATCCAGGGGATTTCTGATACATGGGAAGGTATGTGAGCCACTGATACAAAAGATACTTGGGTACAAAGGTTATTGTGATCATTTAAAAGCTTTGTTACCTTCAACACCTTTCTCCTTTATATGGTAGTCTTCAACTCTGGTATCAACCTTTTAAACTATAAACCCTTGGGGAGCTTTTAAGAATACCAATACCAGGGCTCCAAAGCAGATCAATCAAATTGGAATCTGGGAAGAGGCCCGGCCATCTGTGTTCTTAAACCATCTCCAGGGAATGCAGGTGCAGTGAGAGCCAAGCCTCTGCAATAAGCCTCGGAGTTCCTCTTCTGTAAAGTGGGGGTCATGCCCCTGTCTCTCTCTGAGGGAGCAGTCGTGCTGGGAGAAATCGGTGGAATGAGTTACATATGTATACATGATTAATTAAGCCACAAGGCAAATAATAAAGAGCTTGAGGAAGAATGAGCCTTTCCTTCTGTGTTCTGCAGTCCGTTACTCACCAGCTTCTGCAGAGCTCCTGGCTCCGTGACTACACAGTAGAACTATCCATGAATCCCCTGCAGCATGACTTACATTTAATTTTCTTCTTCATTTTAAAGGGCTGAATCCTGACCCAGGATCCCTAGGTTTTAAGTGTTTTCTTCCCCCATTCCTTATCACTGGCCCTGATACCATTTCTATATCATCCCAACACTTGTTTCAACTCAACAGAGGACCAATAAGGTTCAGATTTGTGCTAGTATCTACATTATTATACCATAAAAATTGTAGACCTTTAATATTATTTTAGGTTCGCTAGTCCTAAAACTAAAAACAGCAGTGGGAAAGTAAGCATTTTTGGGACAGAACATCTTTTATACTGGACCGAGCATAGAAAGTCAACACCAAGACAAACGTACGCCAAATTGCAGGGTCTTTATTGCCGGCGGCCATGGAGGACTCGCGTCTCTCCAACCCGTGGCGTCGAAAGGAGGGTGCCAATACTTTTTATACCCGAAAAGCCACCTTGGGAGTGGGGGTGAGGAGTGGGGATGGGGTTTCAGACATTCTGAGGGCTAGTGGATTCTGTAAATCACCTCGTGGGCGGAGACGAGGGTGAGGGGGCTCGGGACATTCCAAGGGCCAGGGGGCTTTTGTCATTCCGTTTGTTACTTAAGTGGTTTACAGAAGTCAAGATAAACATTAGTTTACACATTATCTGGGTAGGGTGAAATTCACAGACCTTAGTTACTTATTACAAGTTGCAGGAGCTTGCCTGTCACATTAGGGCCACAGAAAGCAGTTACTGATAAGCAAAGGTAAGCAGCTTTACATAGTGATTATTTTGCAGAGTAAACTAGCAGTTTTATTTACAGAAGCCAAGGCCTGCAGTTACTGTGAGGAGAATGGGGCAGCCGTTAACTTATTTTAAAAACAGTCTTTGTCTTTTATGAAACGAGATTGCTCAGGTTCTAACTTTAGGCTAGCTGTGCTACACATCCTCTTACCCCTCCTGTCCTCTGTGGGTAGAATCTGGGCTGTGCTGTCAGCCAAGCCTGGAGCTTTGTGGCTGATGTTTCCCTTGAGGCAGGTCCTAGGCAGATCAAGAGAAGATACTGTTTATATCTCTCAGGAGACAAAAACAGACAAAACATCCAAGTCCTTGGGTAAGGTATAGAAGCAAAGTTCAGGACCCGGTGCTGTAGAAAGTTTTACTGCTTACTCTGCACTCAGTAACTTAGGAGAATTCTAAATTCAAAGAATTAATTAATTTGACCACCATCTTTTGAGAACCTTTGTGGGGTCACCAAAAAAGAAAAGATTTAAATACTGATCTCGAGAAGCTTATACCTGCGCAGCCGTGTATAGCTGAGTAAGCATCCCATCTGAGGAATGAAGATGGGAGGACTCAAGGGAAAGCAGAGGAAAGACACTTGCTTAGGCTGAGATGTCCAGAGAAGGCTGCACGGAGAAGGTGGCAGGTTGGCAGCTCATCTGAGCTTCTGAATATAGATGGAATAACTAACATATTCTGCCCCAGCTTAAATATCATCCCCTCATTGATTACATCCTTTGACTATGCTGTCTAAATTACCACTCCCTCATTCCTGTCTTTTCTTCATAACAGTTATTACCTGACTTTATCTCTGTTGTTTTTGTTTTTGAGACGGAGCCATTCTCTGTCACCCAGGCTGGAGTGCAGTGCTAATCTTGGCTGTCTGCACCCTCCACCTCCCAGATTCAAGCAATTCTCCTGCCTCATCTTTCCGAGTAGCTGGGATTACAGGTGCCTGCCACCACACCCAACTAATTTTTGTATTTTTAGTAGAGATGGGGTTTCACTATGTTGGCCAGGCTGGTCTCGAACTCTTGACCTTAGGTGATCTGCCCACCTCAGCCTCCCAAAGTTCTGGGATTACAAGAATAAGCCACTGCACCCGGCTGTTTTTTATTATTGGTAAAAAATGCTAAAAGATAAGTTCCATGAAGGCAGTCCCATCTCTTTTTTTCATCCCTATTCCCAGCACCCAGAACAGCATCTGGAACACAGTAGACCCTCAATAATCTGAGTAAATGAACAAATGGATAGATGGATTGATATACTTGTGTTTCATAGGGCATCACAGGAATTCGTTTTGCTGGAGGAGAGAAGTGCTACATCAAAGCGCAAGTGAAGGCTCGCATTCCTGAGATGGGCGCCATGACCAAACAGAGCATCTCCTCCGAACTGGTGGGTACCAACATGCCTGAGACAGCGAGAGTGTTTGGCAAATTGTTTGAATGCACAACCCTTTCGGTTTTTATTTTTATTCTGATTGAGATAGAGTCTCACTCTAGAGTGCAGTGTTGCGATCTTGGCTCACTGCAACTGATTCTTCTGTCTCAGCTTCCCGAGTGGCTGGGACTACAGGCACACCACCACATCCAGCTAACTTGTATTTTTAGTAGAGACGGGGTTTCACCATGTTGGCCAGGCTGTTCCTGAACTCCTGGCCTCAGTTGATCTGCCTGCCTTGGCCTCCCAAAGTGCTGGGGTTACAGGAGTGAGCCACCGTGCCCAGCTTGAAGGCACAACCCTTTTGGTTTCTAGTATCTGGATATGTTCATGACCAGACCATAAATTCTGTTTCTTCTCTGCCAAAGGAATTTAAACTGTTTTTGTCCTACTGAGGTCAAAGGATTCTTCTCACATTATATAGTATATTTAAACGTTTTGGGAAGCCACATTTTAAAGTGCATAAAGGGGCTGGGTGCTCATATGGCCTTATTTGCCTGAGGTTAGGGAACTATCTGATCTGTGGTTAAGACTCTACAAGAGACGCAGGCACAGTGGCTCACACCTGTAATCCCAGCACTTTGGGAAGCTGAGGTGGGTGATTCATTTGAGGCCAGGAGTTCAAGACAACCCTGGGCAACATGGAAAAACTCTGTCTCTACTAGAAATACAAAGAAATTAGTTGGGCGTGGTGGTGTGTGCCTATAGTCCCAGCTACTCAGGGAGCAGAGGTGGGAGGATCACTTGAGTCCAGGACATCGAAGCTGCAGGGAGCTGAGATTGCATTACTCCATTCCAGGCTGGGTGACAGAGAGACTCTATCTCAACAAACAAACAAAAAAGACACTCCACAATAAAGACAAAGGACTCCACAAGATAGAGTCTTCATTAAAGGGACCCACAACAGCTGATCACACAGCCTCCACTGGAAAGCAGCCACAGAGCACTCATCCACCCCCACGCCAGCCAGCTTCACTGAGGGTGATTCTAATTGTTTTGCCCTACCTTAAGCTGAGATAGCTCCTCGTACAACTTCTTCCCATTGGTTCAGGTTCAGCCCATTGAAGCTACACAACATATATCTAATTCCTTTTCTATGTGTCAAACATGTGAGTTTTAAAACATGATTCTTTCATTTATTATTAACAACTTGCCTTTGAATTTGATTTTTTAAAATTTACTTTAGGAATTGTATACAGAGTTCTAAAGACACATTTAACAACAATGCCTTACTTTTAATGGTAGTTTAGGGCTTACAAAGTGGTCTCATTGATTATTGTCTTTTATTTGAATTGTAGCAGGATAGGGTGGAGAGAAAATGGGCTTTGAAGTCAGAAAACATGGGTTTACAACCCAGCTCTGATACTCCCTATGGATATTGTTGTCTGCAAGCTGGGGGTATGCATACTGTGCCCGCCGCCCTCGGAGCTACTTGATGGTTGGCAGAGGGCTGCTGCTTATTGTTGTTAATTTTGTTATGATCATCTTTGATCCTCCCAGCAACCCTGAGAGGGAGCTAAAGCAAGTATCAGCTCCCTCAAGGCAAAAGAGGAAAACTCTGGGTAAGCAAAGGTGCCTGGAAACCGCCTGAGGGTTTGCCCCCATAGGAGCAGCTGCAGGCGATGTCTCAAAACAGAACAAAACAAAAGCTAAAAAACAAACCTGTGAGTTTGTAAAGCTGGCTACCATTCACGATTCCTCTTTTCTACTCCATTTCCGCAACATCCATCCTGTAAGCTGTATTCCAGACCTTCCTCCCTCCCGTGATTCTCTCCTGATGGTGTTCCAGCTGGTTCATTATGAGCTGTGCTGTTCAGAATCAAAGGCCATCTTCTCGTTGTGAATATGTTATACCAAGTATAAAAATGGGACCAAGACCTCCTTTGTTCAGACCCTTGTACTGCTTTTATTGCTGTCCCATTTTTTATAGTCATATCCCTCAGTTTCTGTCGTGAAGACTTTAGTGAACTAGAGTCCTTGCCATTTTCCCTATAAACATACCCGGAACTTGTTCTCCTCTCCTGCCTTCTACAAGGACCAATTCCCCAATGATGGGTGACCCAGATTCAATCATAAGTTTGCAGTATACTTACTGGGTTTTAAATACATTTTTCCCCGATTTTTAAAAACAATACTGTGTTACTGTAGGAAATTTGAGAGATATATAAAACTACAGAGATGGCCAAATAGGAACAGCTCCTGTTGGCAGCTCCCAGCGAGATCAACAGAGAAGGCAGGTGATTTCTGCATTTCTAGCTCACTCTCTGTGGGCGGTACCCGCTGTCTAACCAGTCCCAGTGAGATAATTCTGGAATCTTCTGGTCTGCGGGTTGCGAAGACCATGGAAAGAGTGTAGTATCTGGGCTGGAATGCACCGTTCCTCATGGCATGGTCCCTCATGGCTTTCCTTGGCTGGGGAATGGGGTTCCCCAACCCCTTGTGCTTCCCAGGTAAGACAATGCCCCACCCTGCTTTGGCTCACTCTCCATGAGCTGCACCCACTGTCTAACCGGTCCCAACGAGATGAGCCAGTTACCTCAGTTGGAAATGCAGTACCTACACCACCAGGGCCCTGGGTTTCAAGCACAAAACCGGGTGACCGTTTGGGCAGACACAGAGCTAGCTTCAGGAGTTCTTTTTTTCATAGCCCAGTGGCACCTGGAACGCCAGCAAGACAGAACCGTTTATTCCCCTAGAAAGAGGGCTGAAGCCAGGGAGCCAAGTGGTCTGGCTCAGCAGATCCCACCCCCATGGAGCCCAGCAAGCTGAAATCCACTGGCTTGAGATTTTTGCTGCCAGCACAGCAGTCTGAAGTGGACCTGGGATGCTCGAGCTTGGTGTGGGGAGAAGCATCAGCCATTACTGAGGCTTGAGTAGATATTTTCCCCTCACAGTGTAAACAAAACTGCCAGGAAGTTCAAACCAGGTGGAGCCCACCACAGCATGGCAGAGCCATTGTAGCCAGACTGCCTCTCAAGATTCCTCCTCTCTGGGCAGGGCATCTCTGAAAGGAAGGCAGTAGCCCTAGTCGGGGGCTTATAAATAAAACTCTCATGTCCCTAGGACAGAGCACCTGGGGAAAGGGGCAGCTGGGGCACAACTTCAGCAGACTTAAATGTTCCTGCCTGCTAGCTCTGGAGGGCAACAGATCTGCCAGCCCAGCACTCGAGCTCAGGAGCAGACGGCCTCCTCAAGTGGGTCCCTGACACTCTGTGCCTCCTGACTGGGAGACACTTCCCAGCGGGGGTCGACAGACACCTCATACAGGAGCACTCCACCTAGCCTCTGGCAGGTGCCCCTCTGTGACGAAGCTTCCAGAGGAAGGAACAGGCAGCAATCTTTGCAGTTCTGCAGCCTCTGCTGGTGATACGCAGGCAAACAGGGTCTGGAGTGGACCTCCAGCAAATGCCGGCAGACCTGCAGCAGAGGGGCCTGTTAGAAGGAAAATTAACAAACAGAAAGAAATAACATCAACATCAACAAAAATGATGTCCACACAAAAATCTCATCTGAAGGTCACCAACATCAAAGACCAAAGATTGATAAATCCATGAAGATAAGGAAAAAACAGCACAAAGGGCTGAGAATTCCAAAAAAACAGAATGCCTCTTCTCCTCCAAGGAATCACAACTCCTTTCATGCAAGGGAATAAAACTGGATGGAGAATGAGTTTGATGAACTGACAGAAGCAGACTACAGAAGGTGGGTAATAACAAACTCCTCCAAGCTAAAGGAGCATGTTCTAACCCAGGTGTCCCCAAACTATGGCCCACGGGCCGAATGCGGCCCTTGAGGCCATTTATCTGGCCCCCTGCCACACTTCAGGAAGGGGCACCTCTTTCATTGGTGGTCAGTGAGAGGAGCACAGTATGTGGCAGCCCTCCAATGGTCTGAGGGACAGTGAACTGGCCCCCTGTGTAAAAAGTCTGGGGACGCCTGCAAGGAAGCTAAGAACCTTGAAAAAAGGTTAGAGGAATTGCTAATTAGAATAATCAGTTTAGAGAAGAATATAAATGACCTCATGGAGCTGAAAAACACAGCCTAAGAACTTCATGAAGCATACAGAAGTATCAATAATTGAATTGATCAAGAGGAAGAAAGGGTATCAGAGACTGAAGATCAACTTAATGAAATAAAGTGTGAAGACAAGATTAGACAAAAAAAGAATGAAAAGGAAAGAACAAAGCCTCCAAGAAGTGTGGGACTATGTGAAAAGACCAAACCTGTGTTTGATTGGTATACCTGAAAGTGACGGGGAGAAAGGAACCAAGCTGGAAAACACTCTTCAGGATGTTATCTGGGAGAACTTCCCCAACCTAGCAAGACAGGCCAACATTCAAATTCAGGAAATACAGAGAACACCACAAAGATACTCCTTGAGAAGAGCAACCCCAAGACACATAATCATCAGATTCACCAAAGTTGAAATGAAAGAACGTTAAGGGCAGCCAGAGAGAAAGGTCAGGTTACCCACAAAGGGAGGCCCATCAGACTCACAGTGGATCTCTCTGCAGAAACCCTACAAGCCAAACAGAGTGGGGGCCAATATTCAACAATCTTAAAGAACTTTCAACCCAGCATTTCATATCCAACCAAACTAAGCCTCATAAGCAAAGGAGAAATAAAATCCTTTACAGACAAGCAAATGCTCAGAGATGTTGTCACCACCAGGTCTGCCTTACAAGAGTTTCTGAAGGAAGCACTAAACCTGAAAAGGAAAAACCAGTACCAGCCACTGCAAAAACATGCCAAACTGTAAAGACCATCAACACTATGAAGAAACTGCATCAACTAATGGGCAAAATAACCAGCTAGCATCATAATGACAGGATCAAAGTCACACATAACAATATTAACCTTAAATGTAAATGGGCTAAATGCCCCAATTAAAAGACATAGACTGGCAAGTTGGAGAAAGAGTCAAGACCCTTCAGTGTGCTGTATTCAGGAAACCC